TGACTCAAATATCGCACAAAATGATCGCGTATTTCGCGTTTCACTCTTACGGCCAGATCTGGACGTATCCCTACAGCTATACAGACTGTCAACCAAGTGATCACTATTTCTTTGTAATTTATTATGTTATTTAAATGTTATTGTTTTTTAAACGATTTAATTGTATTTTGTAGAGAAATCTATCACATATAGCGACAAAGGCTATCAGACAAACCCATAATAAGAGCTATGCATACGGCGATGCATCGGATCTGATATGTAATGCAATCATTATTAATGTTAATTAATTGCTAACCAATTATACTGTTAGACGTTTCCTCTGGTATAAGCAATGATTGGGTTTACGATAAATTGGGCGTTAGAGTCAATTTTGCGGTTGAGTTACGAGACCTAGGTCAGTATCATTTTTTGCTACCGGGATGGCAAATAAAGCCCACCGCCGAAGAGGTCTGGGCCGGCATTGAAGCCATTTTTGCACATTTGTCTCAATCCGAAGACATGTGGTTCAGATCCGCCGCACAAACACAGATTGTTCAACACTTTCTCATTTGTAATTTACTACTCATTTCATTAATGTTCACAACAATTGTATTTAATGTTTTGCTTAATTAATACTCTATTTAATAGTACTTTATTTAAGTATGCATTTATTTTAGTCTCTTGTACATTTACCCAAGTTTTATATATTTAACTTTATGTGATTGTATTATAATTATCGATAATTGTAAAAATTTAATTTCTTCTTACCATTATTAATTAATAATGTTAAACAAGCATCTAACATTTTGTCTATATTTTTTAATTATTGACTAATTTAAAAACAATAATTTAAAACACAAAGGATTTCCTAAACCTAATGAAGTTTACATATAAATTGAAATGTTATGTTTTAAAAATATTAAATTACTGATGATTTGTTATATAAATTAGTGAACAAACATTTTTATTGATACCAACCATCCGTTCCCTAAATTTATTTATATAACAAGTATATAACAAAATAACACAACTATTTTAAATTCATTTTCATATAATTTTTTACATTCTTTTTAATTATCCAATAATAAAATCAATAATTATTGTAAAAACAATGGATAAAATGACACCAGAATTGCCCCACTATCTAACTAATAATGAGCATTATACTTTTATTGTGCTTGGTATTACGGTAAGCTTAATAATACCAAAATCACTTAGAGTGATTAAAACTTATAATTTATAATTATTAACAGGGCGATTTGGCGAGAAAGAAACTGATGCCAACTTTATTGTAAGTATTGTATTAACAAATATAATTTAATAAAATTGTCATTTTAATAATTGTGTAAATTAAACATAATAAATATAATAAACACACGAAAGCGCACTCTATCTCAAGAAACTATTGCCACAAAACATTCATATCATTGGTTACGCGCGCTCTAAGAGAACGGTCGACGATATCCGCCGCTCTGTCGACCCGTATGTGGCCCTCAAAGACAACGAAGAGAGAGCCAAATACGACCAGTTCTGGCAAATCAATCAATACATTGCGGGAAATACCGATCAAACGAGTGATTATATGGCAGTCGACAGTCATTTGAAGAAAATCGAGTCCTATTACGGTGTGTCCAACAGACTCTTCTACTTAGCCCTTCCGCCCAGTGTTTACGCCGTCACCGCTGCGGCACTTCAATCGACACTTATGTCGCAAACGTATGTCACATCTCTGCCACACAATAAACTTTTGTTTTTTACAAACATTTCATTCACTTTCAATGAATCAGTGGTTGGAGTCGACTGGTGTTTGAGAAGCCGTTCGGTCGCGACAGCCAGTCCTCTGACCAACTCTCGGAAGCCCTGTCCACACTGTTCTCTGAGGACCAACTCTATCGCATTGACCACTATTTGGGCAAAGAGATGGTCCAGAATATTATGGCCATTAGATTCTCAAACACATTATTCAAATACAACTGGAATAATGAGTCCATTTCTAGCGTTGAGATACTTTTTAAGGAGCCGTTCGGCGCACAGGGAAGGGGCGGCTATTTTGATCAGTTCGGTATCATTAGGGATGTCGTACAAAATCATTTGCTACAAGTGCTGTGTTTGGTCGCTATGGACAGACCCGCCGCTAATGATGCCAATAAGATCAGGGATGAGAAGGTGGAATCATTTTATAGAAAAATAATCTAGCGCTAATAACTATTTGGTATAATTTAGGTTAAATTATTGAAACAAATAGAGGTATTGGATGTGAAGGACATTGTTTTGGGTCAATACGTGGGAAATCCTAAAGGAGAGGGCGAGTCAGCGCTCGGGTATTTAGACGACCCGGGAGTGC